TCCCTCACACACTCTCTTCCTTGTTCTCTCTCTCTTCCTCGCTCTCTCTCTCTTTCTTGCTCCCTCCCTCTCTCCCTCACTCCTTTTGTTTAGTGCATATTCCCTCTGGCAATTGAAAAAAAGAGAGAGAAATAAGAAAATTAGTTTTTGTGTTTTTATTCCCCTCCAAGGTATAGGGCAAGGTTATTGGAGAACTTTGTCTTTAGTATTGTATATTTGAAGGCTTCCTTTTTTTGTTTTATTGACATAGAATGAATTAGTAATCACACAAAAATAAGTGGTGTTTCATTTCATCCCAGTTGCTGTTAGCTTTTTGTATCAGTGTTTGAAAGAGATACAAAGGAATTTATCTGCGTCTTCAAACAAACCCCAAATAGTGGGTTCATGAGGTTAAAAATGTCTTGTTTCTTCTCTCTTGTGGATTTTTTTTTCTTATTTCCTGTTTCCTGTGTAGGCTATATCTCTAAGGTATGGGTCCTGTCATTACCCCGAATAACTCTTCTGTTTTGGCTGATTTGCTCATGGAAGTACTTAGTGTCGTATTGCCTTCTAGGGCTGCAGTTTCCAGCCAGCTTCTCTCCACACACTGGCATAGCACAGACACGTACACATTTTCTAGTATATCGGTAATTTTATTTCTTAAGGTCTTTGCAATGGGGCGTGTGCATTCACTGGAGAGAGACAGAGAGGACAAGTAAGAAATCACCCTCCAGGGAGGATGGCCACACTGCAGTCCCTTCTCCATTCTCCTCTTGGGATTCTGAGCACACATCCAAACTTGCGCAGCATGAATTTCAAGCTACCAGGTCTTGGGCTGGAACTGTGGTGGCCCATGTGGCAGTGTCCAGCACCTCAACCACCACGCCACCTGCTGGTCCTCGTGGCTTGCTTTCTCACTTTCTCTCATTCTCGCTCTCTCTGTGTGTCTCTCTCTGGTCAAGTTAAAAATAAAAATGAATGAATGAATAAAATAAAATAAATCTTTAAAAAAGAGAGAGATTTTTGCTACAGGGCATGTATGCTCTCTAGTGAGTCTCAGAGATACAGAAAGCAAGAAATAGCCCCCCGGGAGGTATGGCCACACCACAATCCCTTTTCCTCCATTCTCTCAGGATTTGGGGCATGCGCACACATGTGCATGGTGTGAGTTTCAAGCTGCTGAGTCCATCTAGGATTTGAACTGTGATTGACTACGTGGGAGTCCAGTGATGTAACCATTAAGCCATCTGCAGTTCCTCAAGTTCAGAGTTATTATTGAGAGAATAAGAAATGGGAAGAGGGGGTGCACCGTATTTTTAATTATGTTTTATTAGAGTTGCTGCTGTAAACTGAATGCATAAAAGACTGAAATCCCAAGAATAGAAACACTTAAAATCCTGTCATCTGGTTCACATCTTATTGATGGGATCAAACTTTAGCGGTGGTG